CCGAGCAAATTAATTAACCTAGTTATAATGACCATTAGTAATGTAAGCATGAAGACTAAATACAACTGAAAACTCACAGAAAGTTTCGAAATCAAACAAGGTTTAAAGCAAGCAGATCCTCTGTATACCATCATGTTTAATCTGTGTCTAAAATGGGTGCTAGCTACGGCAAGTTAAACAGAAAAATGGCTTTAAGAACAAAGCGCTATCATATATTGGCTCATGCGGATGATGTTATGATTCTGTCTAGATTTGCAGATGTATTGAGAGATGTATGCAGTATATTTCAAACTTTGGCAGAAAAAGTCAGTTTAGTCATTAATGACAAGAAATATTAAAGTACATCAAATTAGAACAAGTTTTCACTTATCTGGGAACTAATTTACATAAGAGTGAAAAATATTACTGGAGCTCGACACAAAAATATAAAAAGGAAATGTTAAGGCAGGAGTTTTATACAAAATCCTTACATCTAAAAATGTGCCAGGACGAGCCAAAATACATATATACATAACAGTTTATTCAAGTTCATTCAGAGATCAACAGTCCTGTATGCGAGCGAAACATGGGTGTTAAATCAAACACAGGAAGAAAAAAAATATATGGGAAAGGAAAATATTGAAATCCAAAGAATTTTTGGAGGTATTAAAGAGGGGGAGTTATATAGAAGAACCTATGGTTGGGACATTTGTAAAAAATTAAAGAAGAAAGAATATCCAAGATATTAATAAATACAGAGATGAATATTTAAATAAGAGTTCGACCAAAAAAAGATGGTTAGACGAAGCAGAAAAGAACCTCAAACTAAACTAAAAGGCCTGCTTTAGCATATATACTTATTATCGTAAATATGACGAGAAATTCGTAAGGAGAGAAACAAAATTATTAAAATTCGTTTTAAATGTTTTATTGTTTTCGTAAGTGGGTATATTTATTTAAAAACCCTTAAAAGGGGGCTACATAAAAAAAACAAACGTTTTCGAACTAAACAGTCCATCATCAGGTTTAAATTTTAAAATTGCTAGGTTAAAATGCCTGAGCCACCAAAATACATGGGTAAAAACCCTTTAAATTACATATAGTTGTAAAAGATTATACATCTTGTTATTAAAAAACTGTGATGTTCAGTATTAAATTCAATATGACTTCAGGTAACATACATTTGTTGAATTGAGTTCCAGAGCCGGGGAGTAAACCTCTACACACGGAGAACAGCTGGAAACTAAGAGGTTAGGACTCAAAAGTCCTAACCAATAAAATTAATAAACCAACAACTTTATCAGATGAACAACAAGGATTCAGATCCGGAAGATCCTGCATAGACGCCGTATTTATACTAAGAAAAATCACAGAAAAGGCCATCGAGTACAATAAACCAGCATATCTATGTTTTATAGACCTGACAAAGGCTTTCGACCGCATCCAAGTCGAAGACGTCTTACACCTACTGTATAAAAGAAACATAGCAATCAATATTATACAAACCATCGAAAATATCTACCTAGATCAAATACAGGCAAAGATAAATGGAAAACTAACACAGTGTATACCAGTACAAAGCGGAGTCAGACAGGGTGACTCGTTGAGCCCAGTTCTCTTTAATATAATAATAGACGAAATAATACAAGCAGTACGTAAAGGTCATGGCTACAGAATGGGAAACAAAGAAATCCAAATATTATGTTACGCAGACGACTCCGCATTAATCGCCTAGACAGAAGACGAGCTCCAAAGATTAACACATATCTTCAATACAACAGCTAAGAAATACAATATGATAATATCAGCAGAGAAAACCAAATTTAATGTATGACAACATCTAAATACCCACTACGGTGTAAAATCGAAATTGATGGGAAAATAATAAAGCAGGCAGTAAGGCAAGGCAACAAGACACAAAAACAAGAATCCATAAAGCAGCAATTAGACCTATATTAACATACACGGCGGAGACAAGACCTGACACATCTAAAACGAGAAGACTGCTAGAAACAACAAAGATGAAAATACTCCGACGAATATCAGGCAGAAGCCTATTGGATAGGGAGAGAAGCGAAAACATCGAGAAAACAAGAAGAGAACAATATAGAAAATATAAATCGATGAGTGACAAAACGAAAACAGGAGTGGAACGAACATATCAGTAGAATGGCAGAGGATAGAATAGTACGAATAGCACGAGATAAGTTACCAAATGGACGAAGAAATATTGGCAGACCAAGAAAAAGATGGTGCGAAAATTTAGGAGGCTAATATTGAAGAAGAAGCAGGCTTTAAAGCCTACATACTAGAAGGAAGAAGAAGAAGTAATTTGAGGATCTGGACAGTTTTTTAAAAATGGCATGCCTTCATGGTTCTGCTAGTAAAATCTGGAGAATACTATCATCTAACATTTTTTGAGCAGAGCAACAGAATCCTTGATATCTTTTTTATAGCTTTGCACAGATAAAGGTCGTGAATGTGTCGGAACTAAGTCACAATTCGCGTTTCAGTTGATCGTACCGTTAAGCTTAATTTTTTTAATATCAACCAGCCCTTCCTTCTTTTCGGGATTTTTATTTTCTATAGTTTCTCCGTCTGTATTTTGTTTGTATGCGTCATCTACAGGAGCTTCCTCGTCATGACCATCTGTATATATTTTTTAATTTAATTATTAATTTAGACAGAAGTTGACAGCCAGTTAGATTGTCTAAAGTGTCTCCCTCATCCTCATTTCCAGAATCCTTATTCGCTAATTCACTGGCATCCGGAGGCTCAATGAAGAATTCATCCGCATCATCTGAATATGCTAATTCTATTGCTTCTTGCACAATTAAGCATTGCCTAGAAAGAAATAAAAGGTATTAATATTTGTTTCAATTCGAAAACGATACGTACTTCAGACAACCTAACGTCACATATACATGTATGTAAATCTGCAATTCAAAGCTGTTTTATTCAAACACACAAACATCAATACTCAAAGTAACTAACTCTTTTCACAGGCAACAACAAAAAAGCACCATTTAACAATATTCTTGTAAAAATATCATGCGTTTCACTCTAAAAATAAGATTTTTAGTTAAAAAAAATAAGTTAGCACTTACGAGAAATTAATGGTATGATCTATGATACTTGCTGAATTATATGTAGTTCAGACTGCAGTAACTCAGTAACTAAAACAATTATCAGTATGGTTTTGCAGTGAAGGCTTTGTAAGTTTAAGTGCATTGTTCAGTAGATGTATACCTCTATAATTGTTGGGGCCTTCTTTATCTACTTTCTTAAACATTGGTATCATTATGCTGTTTCTCCATGCGTCTGGTATCTTGCAGTGCAATATTAGTTTTTGTATAAGTTTTGTCATCTCTATGGTTATACTTTCTCCTCCGTATTTTAGAAGCTCGTGGGTTATTCCTCCTGGCGACTTTCTATTTTTGAGCGAATTTATGGCTATTTCTACTTCCTGAAAAGATTTTTATTTCGTGTCTTAATTCAGGTACGTTATTGTGTTGATTATTATTTTTCTTTGCTTTAAACAGTTCCGTCAGGTATCTTTTCCATTCGTTTACTGAATTTGTTTGATAATGCGGTTTATACTGTGCGGGGATAGTTCCAAAGTGTTGGAGCAGATACTACATAAAGAATATAATGATCACTTCTACGTGGATCATCTTTATACTAATATACCTATCTAACTTTTTAAAATTAAAAGTATATATTATTACGGGAACCTTTAGGGATGACAGAAATCCTAAGACCAAAAAAAAAATAATTAAAAAATTTAGACCATGGTAGTTTCGCTTCATGTATCGATAGCGATCATGGTATTTTTTTATAGAGTGTAGACAATAAAGTTGCGGCTGCTGTATCTACAGCTTAGGGTGCTGCGCCTATGGAAACTGCGCGCAGATATAGCAAATGACAAAATGTGCAAGCTTAAAGATGGCAAATCATTGTCAAATATAACAACAATATGGTAGGAACCGAAGATGGACGAAAACATGTTTACATATAGAATTGGAATCCGTTCAAAGAAGTGGTGGTGTATCGTCACGTGGATCATTGATGCAAGTATCAGTAACACCTGGATACTCTACAAGTACTACTACCCCAAGATCTCTCAATTAGATTTCAGAGGATGTATCTATTGTCCAGTCATATCTTAAAAAATATACGAATGCTCCTAAGCATGGTGGAAGACCCAGTTCTTCGAAATTTAATGTCTCGCTTAATAGAATATCAGACAATATAATGTATGAGGGAAATAAGCACCTTCTAATATCTATACCTAACCACAAAAGACGTCGCTGTGCAGGAGAGAGGTGTAGCAGTAGTACTCGAACAATGTATAACAAATGTTATGTCGGCATGTGTATTTACTGCAATTATACTTTTCATGTATAGACATTCTAGTTGTAATATAAATTTCAGTGTGTTTTTTAAGAATTTATTTTATTTTAGCTACGGTACTGTAGTGACATAGCATTACGTTTATGAAACACATGCTTTTTGTTAGTTAATAGGTTTTTGGATTAAAAAATTGTTAATTTGTCTATTATTATACGTTTTTAATATAAATATATTAATTTATTTAATAAATTACAAAGAAAAATAACTTGGGTCATAATGGGTTAATTTTCAACAAAGGCGAAGAAACTGTGATACTTTATAAGACAAAGAAACGTTTGGAACTTTATTTGAAATGAGTCATTCATCTCATTTCAAATACATATACCACTTTTCTGTCTTCACATTTTTTTATCATTTTCGGTAGATAGTCGCTCTTTTTGGCATTATTTTCAAACCAAATTGAAATATCCATATACCTATTACATATTTTGCTGATAAAACAATATTCGCCGCCATTTAATAACGTATTTGCGTATTTTAAAATATATAAGGGGACTAAGACTTGAAGTTATAATATTTTAAATTAAATTACGAAAATCATAAGCCGAATTTTCCCGGGCTATGCGTCCACACCGCTCCCCACCTTATTAACATAGAACCCATCATGCCGTAGACATGTGACGATTTCAACCAACAGTTGGTACTGGAATTGTAACCATTTCACTTGAAAGGTGCCAAATTTCGAGACCGGCCACATCTCGAAAACATCCCATACATTTGTAAATTTGTATTTGCCACCATGCATTTCGTTATGTACCAGGTAAGTGACGATATTTTCATTATCTATTTATTAAATATTTTGTTAGAAAACACGTGCTTGAATTTTAGAATCGTATAAATAGCCGATAAACAGTGTTGCCACGTATTATCACTCAGACATTTTGGTTTTTATCTAAAATAATAGTATTTTATGAGTGTGTATTTCAAACACAGCAATATTTAAATATATACTATAATTTTTGTATTGTCTTAGACATTGTCTAACAGTTCAATTGGAAAAGTCATGTTATATGCGCTTCCCGCGCTTTTTGACCACCATATTTTTTATGAATGCAATTGTGGAATACCCTGATAAACACAGCACACGATGACACGATACTCATGTTGCCTTCAGACGTTTACATTAAATTTATCAAACTTGCTTTGTATTTAAATTATGAATCTTAATTTGTAATGTACTTAGCTTTATACTTAGTTAATAGCTACAAAGCTTAGGGTAGTTAATCACAATTAAACATTCTTAAAACAATGTTATGTTAAATGCCGCGCAATAAGTTAATTACATATAATAATAATTTACAGTCCATGTTTCAGTGTATTATACATTTTTATTTTTTGAAAAAAAGATAACTGACGTTAGCAATATTTTTTTTGTTTTGAGTGCGCTTGCAAAGATTTGAAAAATTAGCGCATGAAACTTTACAATTACATATTTCTTTTCACATTTTTAAATTTAAACTATTGATCATAATCTTCATATATAGGTACTTTGTTATGTTGCTAAACATTTTCTCTAGTTGTTTATTTATTTATTATACTCTATTTTAACTTGTTGCTATAATAAGAAAGTTACTGTTTTCTATTTTTCATGATCTTATTGCATTACTTTGATATCAAACTTTAATTGCAGTATTTATCATTTTTTTGCAATTACCATTCAACTATTTGGTTGTTACACAATACTTTTTCTTTCCTCATGACCAAACATAACAACCAAAGGATATAGACGCATATACGTCTATATTCTTTGGTTTAGCATCTTAACCCTTTATTCATTTTATTGTAATTATATTTATCAATTTATTTCATTAATTTTTTTGTCCTAATATTCTTTCTAATATACTTTACTAACCTACAAAGCAGAGATCCTTGCGATAAGCACCACATATATTACTATGTTGTTTTCCGTAATATTTAACTAATTTATGAATCCGATTTGACGTTTTTAATTCACATGGGTATAGTTTGATATTCAAGCTATTGGATTTTTCCTTGTACCAAAGAATATAGAGACTATATTCTTTGCTTGTACTACGTAATCCTTCTTATGCATCTCTTCAGACCATATCCTTATATAACATAGGTTAAATACAGGGTGTTTAGTTTTCATTGTTACAATATTTAAAATGCGCATCTGCAACCTCCAACTGCGTCAAAAGATGTTAAAATATATATACTATATATATTATATATATATATATATATATATATATATATATATATATATATATATTTACAGTCACAATACTAATAGGGAAAACCTTATATTTATTTTCCTAAAATGTAGAAAAAATTATACGTGAATATCACTATGAAAAAACGTTATCATAATACGTTTTGCGCGCTCAATATTAAGAGATTGTATATAGAAAGTACTTTCTAAGTTTTGATTATAATAATTGAAGAATATGTTTTCTTTTTTTTATCTGGGGTTATCTTTACATTGAACTTTGAATATGGAGATATTTCTGTTTCTAGGAGAATGTAGTGATTGATTTTGTGAATGGCTTTACCTTGTTTATTTGATAAAGTGGTACAATTTTGCAAAAGAAGGATTGTGCATGTGATATTTAGGATAAACCTGTTGTTAATACAGTACTGATGTAAACTCTTAACTTCTTTAGATTGTATATTTAAGTATTTCGTGGCCCTTGTTTTACTTCCTATTTCTTTATTGATGTTTCTGTCCAATCTATTTCGAAGACATTGTCTGTCGCGGCGGTATTTTGCGCTCCTAATTCTGTTATAACCCTTGGTATAATGCAAAAATACACTTGCTTTGGCAGTGCTACGTGGTTCTAAATGAAAAATTCAACACAATAATAAATGTGCTCTAGTGCGTTTTATTGTGCGTATTTTTAAAATACGCATTTTGTATTTACAGTAGCACCAAAATATTTACCACATTCTTTATAACTTCTATTAAATCAGATCGAAGAAGTTTTTTGTTAATTCCTCTCAAATTTTCACTTTTATTAACTCTCATATAAAAGTTAATTTTCATATTTATTTAATGGCTGGTGTTATAAAACTCCTTTTTAGCGATACTCATCCATTCACCTTTATACTTACGTTTTAGTTCTTTTCTGTCATATATACTAAAGAGATTTTTATGCCTTTACTATCTATAAAATGATCTTTTCAAAATCTAATCATGTCAGGTTTACAAAATAACTGTTCTCAGAGACGCAAGATATCGACGCATTTTTCTCCTGGTATAAAGCAGCTCTGATCTATCTATTCTGTTGCTAACTTCCTTGAATCAACTTAATTAATTTTCATTCATTTTGTTTATTGGATTTTCCTCTTGAACGAATTATGTCATGTCCATTCTGAAAATTCCGGTTAAATGATCAAAATCACAATAGGTTAAGAGTCAGTTGCAACAACAACTAAACTTTATATTTATCGAATTAAATAGAAACATTTTTGATACATGTTCAGTAGATAACTAACAATTTATCATATTCGAGTATTTATTATGTGTAAACTTCATGCTAACCGTAAGTGAAAAAAGAGTAATTGAATTGGTTTAATTAATGAATAGTATAATGTTTCAAAACATCCTCGAGTTATGAGATAATACTTGTTGAATTAGTTATATTGATAAAAATTAATAAATTAAAAACTTTCAAGTTAGATATTGCTCCTTTTCTATACCGAATTAAATTCGTTAAACAATCTTTTTATATAATCTTAAAGGTCTTGACAATTATATTCTTTTCTAAATCTCTCTCCCAAGACTTCCTGGAATTTGACAAAAATTTGGATATATTAAAGATAATTAAGAAATATCTGCTTCTACACACACATTCATGAAGCATTCTTATTTCTATCTATCTACTACCTTCATTTTTTGTTCCTTCCAGCTTTCTTAAGACTCGTTTCATTATCTTTTATTCTTAAGTGTATAACCTATTCAGTTACAGCACTGACTACTGTACATCATTATACACCGAAAGTCCTCTGATATTCCGAATTCTAGATTTTCTAGATAGTGTTTTTGTTTCGAACTCTCTCAACAAAACGGGGGAAGATTTATTTAATCTTATTAACGATAACGTTCAATACTTTTTCGACCGTCAATGGCCTGGTATATCGTGATAAGTATTTACTTCGATGTGAACAGTGGTTTTTCTATTGCTAACCATATCACCAAAAATAACACATTAATGGCGAATCTTACGAAGACCTCGAGATTCAACAGTAATTTTTTGAAATTGCCGAGCTCAACAATAATTTCTCTGTATGTTTCAATAATTAACGAATACACCTACATCACATCTGAACTGCTCAACTCTTGCACCATTTTGTCTTTTGTCCAGGAGTAATGAAACGCAAATATGCCATCAAGATACCAACAATTTGCGCAGGTCTAGAGGGTGAAGTCCAAACCTTCACAATTTTCTCTACTTGAGGTAAAGTTTTTTGATATTCGTTGGTTTTTGATTATTTTTCAATTTTTCGTTAATTCTTATCGGTAATCGATCTCGATGGTCTCTAATTTTCTTAGTCCGTTGCCAAATTATCTGTAGCACAGTTTTGATTTTACAGCCTATTTGCATTTTTTATTGTACTTACTGTATTCGAATTTTTTCTGGGTTTTCATATTATTTTTATAAACTCTATAAGAAAGTATAGATATTTATAAATCCATAAAAACTGTACTACCCTGTAGTTCCAAATCGTGAATGACTGTTCTTTTTTCATATTGCACAGCTCTATGAAATCATCAGAGACACACACGCACAACAAAGTAAATCCCAGCTCCTGGGACATGAAATTCCCAGTGTGTTCTCATGTCCGAAGATTAATGAGATCACGCCTAGTGCAGACGGTACCCCTAACCTACAAGCTACCTCCACCTCCTTCCCAATCGCAGTCATAACGTTGGAGAGGCTTTACTTGTTTTTGATCTTGGATTCCCTGGGAAATAATGCACCTGAGAGGTCTTTCTGCGATGATGCCGCTTTGATAGGGATTGTGTTATACACCGTTCTCACTGGTTTACCTTTTCTTTTGTCAATCTTCTAGAGTTTCCTCGTCTCCATTCTTCGTTTTTGGCCTTGGTCCCTTGTTCTCTGCCCTGGGATTAAACTATCACCAAAACTAACGTACCTACACTACTCTACCATTTAAAGATAGACATATGTATTTAGTTCTACTTTTCCTTTTCTATCTTTTTAGAATTTGTTAGAAATAAATTTTAAACATAGGGGAGACATCTTTGTCTAATAACATTATTAGTTTTACAACCACTGAATACTTTGTATATCCAACGTTCTATTTTCTTATATGTTTCATAAAAATCCTTTTTTATTCTTTTATTGTTTTTTTATTATAATTTATTCATCATCACCATCAATTGTATTATAACTATAGCCCCAGTTAAGCCTTGGGTTTTCCTATACGAGTGTATTTCGCCAGTTATTATCCATTATTCATATTTCCATATTTCACCTTAGCCCTGGCATGCCATCTACTCCTGTTTTCTATAGATAGTGATGGGCAGGTAGTTTTCATTCGCTATTTACAACAGGTGTCCTACCTTTCTAGCGTTTTCATAATTTATTGTTTGGTTTTCTTAGCTTTGGAATATAGGTATAATATATCATTTTCGTTGTCAAATTTCAGCCGTTCGAAATCAATGTCGTTACTGTGTTCGTCTCTTTCTCTATTTACTGTCATACCAAAAACTATCACATTCTACAATAATTGGATCATCTAAACCTATAGTCTTGAATTAATAAGCAGATATTC